TGATGACTGACTTCAGTCTTCCATTCTCACTCTCGTTTTCTGAGTTGTTTCTCCCCCGTAATATCAGCTATGGAGTTGTGCTGTGGCACTTTAGGATAAACACTACTACACTGCTAGCCACAAGGTTGGTGGTTCAAGCCCACCAGCTGCTCTTGGAAACCCTATTTGGAATTGTTATGAGTCGGAACTGACTCAGCAGCACTTAACAATTTTCCCTAGTTTCCCTATCTAACCTTTCAAGTAGCTCTTGTCAGTTTGATCCTATGCAGATAGAAGTCAAAAGAGCCCAATGCACAAAACAGACATCCTTCATTGGTTAAACCAAATTACTGTTTTGCTTTTAAGATTTCAGGAGGATAGTATTGGTTTGTGGTTAAAGGGTTAAAGTGATATGAAGTCTATGACTTTGGGGGTTTATCCAGCCTCCATGGCTTCATAAAATGAAAAAAAAGCCCAGATAAAAAGCCAACACAAAATTATTGTTGTGTTTCCCAGTTCTGACTCATAGCAACGCTATACAGGGTTTCCAAGGGCTGGCTGGTGTACTTGAACCGCCAGCCTTGTGGTTATTAATCCTCTGCTGATCCTGTAGCACCACACCAGGTCTCCACAAAAAGCATTAGTGTGGTCAGTTGTCTCTGGGTGCATTTATCATAGTGGGAGTTTTTTCCCCCGTGTGGACTTTTTGTTTTAGAACCTTAAAAATCAAGGTCCATTTTAAAGGTCCACCCCATGAAATGAGCAGGCTTGCTTTCTCCCTTGTGTAGGTGCAACCGATGGGATTGGAAAAGCTTATGCCGAAGAGTTAGCGAGTCGCGGCGTCAACATTGTCCTGATCAGTCGGAACAAAGAGAAGTTGGAGGTTGTAGCTAAAGCCATAGCCGACACCTATAAAGTGGAAACCGACATCGTAGTGGCAGACTTCAGCCACGGCCGCGACATCTACGTCCCGATTCGAGAAGCCCTGAAAGACAAAGACATTGGCATCCTGGTAAATAACGTGGGTGTGTTCTACCCCTACCCCCAGTATTTCACTCAGGTCTCCGAGGACAAGCTCTGGGACATCATTCATGTCAACATCGCCGCAGCGAGTCTGATGGTCCACATCGTGCTGCCCGGAATGGTGGAGAGAAAGAAGGGCGCCATTGTCACCATCTCTTCTGGCTCCTGCTGTAAACCCACGCCCCAGCTGGCCGCGTTCTCTGCTTCGAAGGTACTGGAGTAACCACTGGGGGGTGGTACGAGGAAGGCGGCACCAGCCATGCCTCCCACAACCCTCTCGATTCCTCCATTGGGTTCAGTGATTTGTTGTAAAACTCAGCCCTGGAACAGTTTCCGGGTCTGTTAGGGAAGTTAAGAGGGTACAGCAAGGCAGAAACGTACTTTGGTGGGGTTACAAATGATGGCTAGAAGAGACGTTAGATAATTCACCACCCCGTACAAGTGAAAACGCAAGGCACTGCAGTTACCTGGTCCGATCTGTGGAGCGTTTTGTCAGTAGCTCATGTTTCCTTGTACTTTTGTTTTTCTCCTGAAACAATAGTAACCAAGTCCTTTGCGTTCACTCTGGATGTTCTTTCAATTCCCTGAAAGCTCAAGCCAGCCTAACAGCGCCCCCCATTTACCAGGCTTATTTAGACCACTTCAGCAGAGCGTTACAGTACGAATACGCTTCCAAAGGCATCTTCGTGCAGAGCCTGATCCCGTTCTACGTCGCCACCAACATGACCTCCCGTAGCAGCTTTCTACACAGATGCCCGTGGTTGGTGCCTTCCCCCCGAGTATACGCACAGCATGCCGTCTCTACCCTTGGGATTTCAAAGAGGACCACAGGGTACTGGTCGCATTCCATTCAGGTAACCCCCTCACTCTTTATCAGTGATACATGGGAATCGGGTGGTACGGTGAGAATTAAAACCCGACTCCTGAACAGCTTCATTAAGTCACTGAAGTTTCTTCCATGGAATGATTGTGTTCAGAATATTCAAATGTTCAATCTCTGCAGCGACTCAAAGAGGGAATTATAAAAGTGGGTGGGAGCAGTGTAAAAATGTAAAAATGTTCTGTATTTATGTGGGAATTGCTAAAGAAAAAGATGCCAGGAAGGTTTAAAGGGGGGTACCAGTAAGTCAGTAGTATAATCTGAACAGACCAGAAAGTAGGTCTTCACTTCATGACACCTTTGTGTCACATACCAGTCCAGGGTCGTCCTCAGTTCCCTTGATTAAGAAGTACCATTTTGCTTTGTTTTAAGTGTGTTGTTCTGGCATGATAGAGATTTGAGTCTTTAATATCTTAAAGAGAAACATTTTTGACCTTTGAAATTTTGATTCTTTGGTAGAGAATGCAATGATCTATTGTAAGAGACTTTTATTTCTTCAGCAGATTATATAGATGGTGTCCTGTTTTTTGAAAAAAACGTTTTGTTTAATATGTACCGTTTTTAACATAATCAGATACATTGGTTGGGTCTCTTTACATAACCACGGTTTGATTTACAACCACTGCATAAATGGATAAGTCAGCCAACAGTTAAGTTTTGCTTTTCTCAGAGGATTTGGCTCAAAGTCACTTTAAGAAGAAATGCGATTTCAGTAGCTGTTTTTGGTCTATTTAGTTACTGGAGACAAGCAGAGAAACTTAAGCCGTAGATTAGACATCCGTGACTGTTGGAACTGTCTCAGAAATGGAGACTCAGTGAGGATGGGCTTTAGATGTGCCAGGGGCTGTGTTGATTGTTGTTCGATGCCATCGGGTCGGCTCCGACTCACAGCGACCCCACCTGTGTACCGCTGAACAAACCACAGCCTCATCTTTCACAATCCTCGCTGCCTTTCAGTCCATCCATTCCTGCAGCCGCTGGGTCACTCCGGCTCATTGAAGGTGTCCTTCTCCAGGAACTGGTCCCTCCTGCTAAGTCGCCCAAAGGATGTGAGATGAAATCTTGCCACCATCACTTGTGAGGAGCCTTCTGGCTGCACTTCCTCCAAGACAGATGTGTTCTTTCTTCTGGCTAAAAAAATCCACTGCCTTAGAGTCGTTCCAAGTCATAGCAACCCTAAAGGATAGAGCAGAACTGTCTTTCAGGGTTCCCAAGGCTGCAAATCTTTAAAGGAGCAGACTGCCTCATCTCTCTTCCACAGAGCTGCTGGTGTATTTGAACCACTGACCTCTGTATTGGTTACCAGTTCAGCACTTAGCCCAGCGTGCCGCCAGAACCTCTTTTCTTCCGACAGTCCACAGACATTCAGTAGTCTTTGTTAACACCTTAACTCAAAGGCATCAGTTTTTCTTCGTTCTTCCTATTCACTGACCGGGTTTCCCATGGGCAAGAGACGATTGAAAACTTGGGTCAGGCACACCGGAGGGACTTCTTTGCTTTTTAAAACTGACCGTTTATGGTGGCGGTGGTGGTGGTGTGTTGAGGAGTTGGTTCCAACTCATAGCAACTCATTTCCAAGGCTGTAAATCTTTTCGGGAGCAGAAAGCATCATCTTTCTCCCGTGGAATGGCTGGTAGTTTCAAACTGCTGACCTCAAGGTTAGCAGCCTGACTTGTAACCACTGTGCTGCCAGAGCTCCTCTGACTGTTTATAAGCACCAGTAATTTAATGTTCATGTTGATGAGCTTTCCTTGAGAATCTATTTCTTTCTGCCAAAACATTCTGTTAAGCTGAGTTCGTTCCTGGACTCATTCTCTATACAACGCTGTTTAAGTATTCCCATATTTTTTCTACTTTCATTTTTTATTTTCTTCAAATTTCTTTCAACATTGTCACTTTTTTCCTTCCAGTTTTACACCAAAGATCTGATTCATCACTTTCTATTTTGTTCGGAGCAGATTTTTCTGATACCTTTGCCCCCCGGACTTCTCTTTCATAGTCATCTTTCCTTTTTGTTTTTTAACCATCTGTTCTCTCTGTTCATTTCATTTTATTTTTTTAAAGTTTTTACTGTGAATGATGTGATAGTTTACATGGGAGAACAGTAGCTTTACATTCATCCTATCGTGTACCGTTACATTGCCATGGTTGCAATCAGACATCCTATTTTTTAAACTTTTTAAATTTTAACCATCCGTTCTCTCTATTCATTTTTTTTTTTTTTAAGTTTTTATTGTGAATTATCTAATAGTTTACATGGGAGAACGGTAGCTTTGCATCCATCCTGGCTATATCGCTTCATAGTCATGGTTACAAACAGTCATCCTTTCTTTTGATACAGTTTTCCCAGGTTGAATCTTGCCCATCTGAATTTGGTCAAGACTTTAATTCTCAGTCTCTTGTCTGTATAAAGCATACTGTTGACGAAGTTTGATATGTCAGATGTAATGCATAGAGTTCTAATTTGGGTTGTTTACTCCCGTTTTCTTCTTTTGTGTAGTGCATTCACTAAGAATGGTGGTGTGTGCTTATTGTGACCAGATAATTGGGGTAGACTGAAAAGGAGGGTTGACTGAAATGGGAGGTGGAGGGTTGGGGAGGAATGAGCAAAGTCACCTCAGGTTTGTTGTTAAGTGTCCTTGAATGGGTTCTGGCTCATAAGGACCCTGTCTGTATAGGGCTTCCGAGGAGCAGCTGGTGGGTTTGAACTGCTGACCTAATGAGGTAAGCAGTCCAGTGCTGATCCTGTACCACCACACTAGGACTCAATGTTGAGGACTCAGAAGCTCAGCGGCATTATTTACTCAGGTAGCTTGAGAGAAAACGAATTTTACCTTTGAAGGACTTGGAAAATACTTAGACATGGAGACACAGAGTTGGCAGCTGGGAGGTCGGCTGAGAGATTTGCATGGGCAATAGAGGTGTGCAAGCCACTGGCATTTAACTGGCTGGTAAGCTGTTATGTGGGCACTGTTATTCAGAGAGACAGGAGGTAGAGGGAAGAGAAGAGAGCGAGAGCAGAGCCTCAGGGAGCTGCCACCTTCCGGGGCTCGTCAGGGGGAGAAGAGCCACCTTGGAGACGGAGGACAATGGAAGAGTGATCGTCTATGCCACTGTCCCCTGACACCACGCTCTGGTGACGTGCCACAAGAGATGTTGAGAGAAGGCCGGTTGCAGGGTATTGACAAGTACAGCGTGGAGACTGTGTGTCAGGTAACCCCTGCAGGAGGTGAGATGGGCAGGGCTGACGGCGTGGACGCAGGTGTGCTCTTTCACTGAGATGTGTCAGATTCCATGCTGGAGGTGACGTGTGACCGAAGCTGCTGCCTTCGGTCACTGTGGAAAGTAGAGCACAGGCTGAGTTCTAGATGCCAGGTCCTTCCCCGAAACCCAAACACCAAACCCACTCCCTACCGTCAAGTCAATGTTGCCTCATCCTGACCCTATAGGACAGGGTAGAACAGCCTTGTAGGGTTTCCGAGACTAAATCTTGAGGAAAACAGATTGGCACAAGTGTCTCCCGAGGAGCGGCTGGTGGGTTCGAACCGCAAGCCTTGTGGTTAACAGCTGAATTGCTTAACCACTACGTCTTCAGTGCTCCTATCTCTATGATGTAAGTCCTGAACAAACAGGTCAAGAATACCACCTTGGAGGGGAACCACTGTCTGGTTGGCTCCCTGTGCCTGCGTGTGTCAGGGCCGCCCTGTGTACAGGCTCCCGGCAGGGGCCACACACGGACTCACACACCTGGTGGGAGTTGGAAGGCTTCGATCAGGACACAGGCTCCAAAGACCAGTTGTTAGCTCATAGCAACCCTCTGGAGGCTTTCTGAGGAGTGGCTGCTGTGTTTGAACTTGTGATCCCTGGGTACTTTCCCCATGAAGTCCTGGCTCTCCAGAGGGTCCAGTGGTGGTGCAGTGGATAAGCTCTGCACTGTGAATCAAAAGGTCTGTGGTTCAAACCCACTAGCCTGAACAAAGATGTGACAGTCTTCTTCTGTAAAGGAGACAGACTTGGAAATGCTACAGGGCAGTTCTCCTCTATCCTCTGGGGTCAGAATGGGCTCATCAGCAGCGTGTCAGGGACACTGTAGGTATTCCCCTAGGAGGTTGCCATAACTCCTGACCAAATACTGGACCTCCGAAGTCCTGTGTCTTGGTGTGAAGTTCTCTTGCATAGTTGGGCTCCAACTCCAGTTTCTTTATCTGCTACTAACCCCGTTCGTGTCTGTCTGTGCATCTGTCTGAACCAACTGTCTTTTCTGTTGGAATCACACTAACCAACAGTGGGATTGTGTTCTGTGTGTAGCTCTGTCCAGCCTCATTAGCACTGGGGGCTGAGAGGGATCATGTTTCTCTTCCCCTCCCATCCTCAGTACAGTGGCCCCTAAATAGCTTTTCCTTGGCTTTGTGGAAGGTGATTGGTGGATCTCTGTGGCATTAGACCACAGATTGGTTTCAGCACTTCAGTGCTGATGGCTGTCAGGGTCTAACCTTCTACCTTCTCTCTCTTTGATTCCTAGTTTCTTTTTGCACAGTACATGCCCGAGTGGCTCTGGGTATGGGGAGCGAACATTCTCAACCGCTCACTACGCAAGGAGGCCTTGTCCTGCAACGCGTGAACCTGGATGATCATTTGGGATGCTTTGCCAGCCCATGGGAGCCTGCAGTATTGGGGCATTTGGAAGAACATGATGAATTCATCTCCTGCATTTTCTTTTCTCACTGGTTGTTTAGCAAACTGTCAATTTATCCTTTGCCAAGTAAACCTGGTACTTTTAGGGAATGCTGTGGGGAAAACGCTCAAGTCACACGTGAACGGCACAGAGCAAGTAACTACCGACGCCTGGGAACAAACTGGAGAAACCGAAATGTCGATGCTGCTTCCCCTAAGCTGTTCACAGAGGTGTGGCTCATGCTGCTCTCTGAAACACGGAAACCTGACAATGAAATATACAGAAAATGTGACTTGTCAGCTCTTGTGATCTCAACTGCTGTTGTTTTAAGGGCCGTTCATTACCCAGTTCAGCGGCTGAATTGCAGTATTGGTTTCCCGGTGTTCATCGGAAAGTCCATTGAAGTGTGTTATTTTATAACTCAGCTCGCTGGTATTCTTAGCAGTGAAAATGCGTGTATGTTGTATGGTACAGCTTTAGTTGTTTCTGTATAAATATGCTCTTCTGCTGAACTTCCCTCAGAGGTGTGTGTTTGTGTGTGTCTACGAGCAATTGTATTTGTGGGTGAATGACTTTGAAAAAAGATTTCCTGTCAAGATGGTGTCAGGTGGAATCTGACTGGGTTTTGATACTAAACAAGCCCACCCAATCTTGTGCTGTTGATTTGCCATGTATAATGTTATTTGCCACTACTTGGCTTTGTCGTGTCATTCTACGGTGGCTGGCAGTAATTCAGCCCTTGAATTGGACACGTCTGGGTGACTCAGAGGCATCTCTTGATGTATACTGATTGTCCTTGCAGATAACTAGTGATTTCTCAACCTGGTTCCCTTTTACCAGTGAAATGTGACCCTTTAGAATGTGATGTATCTGGTTTTCATACTTCTTTCTGTGTCCTTCCATTCCATTCCATTCCAGCAGCATTATCAGTATGAACATCGAGTACTTGTGGAACAGTCATTAAAGTCTGCACAAATTATGTCTGTGATACAGTGTAGCTGTTGAAATAATATTAGAAGCCCATTCTTGGTTTGTGTAATGAATTCATGCCTTGTAGTGAATACTTAATATTGGTGTGAAGATAATTATGCACAAATCCCCACAATGTGAGTTAGCATTGGAATCTACTCAGAAACTTTTGTTTGTTTGTTTGTTCAAGTCTTTTAAAGCCAAAACATGTTTAAGAACCACATACATAGTGCTTTGAAAACTGTCCATCACTGTAGGGATATAACAGTGTGTACATATTTAAAGTTTAACTTCATACGGTGACACTGACGCAGAAGCTCGTGAACCAGCTGAGTGTCAGGTGTATGGAATCGTTCTCTCGCGAGATGATGCGCCCTGTAAGCAGGCCTGAGTTCGCTTTTATGAATGATGCACAGTTTTGTCAATGACGTTGCCAACAGTGGTGAAGTCCAGAAGCTTGTCTGCTGATAGACCCTGTCTGGATAACGTAAGAGGATCTGCTATGGAAAAAACGACAGACTGCGGATTCAACGTAACGTGGTGAGCTACGATGACGTTACCTGGGAAGCATTTCTTCTGACATATCTGGTGTTTGCCCTCACCCAACAATTAATTTATGGTATTTAATCTTTAATCCTGGTGTGGCACTATGGGATAAGCACTGGACCGCTAACCACAAGGTCAGCAGTTCAAGCCCACCAGCTGCTTCTTGGAAACCTTATATAGGGTCACTCTGAGTTGGAACCAACTCGACAGCACTTAACAGCAACAGACCTGGTATAGCACTGTAGGATAGGTACTGGACTGCTAGCTACAAGGTCTGTGGTTCAAGCCCACCACCTGCTCCTTGAAAACCCTCTGCAGGGTTGCTATGAGTCAAATCAACTTGGCAGCACCTAACTACAATAACAAAGCCAGACAAAAGTCCTCTCGTCACTGTGACTTAATTCTAATGGATGTGTGTGGGAAGAAGCTGCAACCTTACAAAAACCTATCTTGTCAGTTCCCACTTATGTTGTTGATAAGTGTTGTTGAGTCCGTTCTGACTCATAGCAACCCTGTTTCTGAGAAGCGGATAGTAGATTTGAACCACTGACCTGGCAGTTAGCAGCCCAACTCTTACCCTATAATGCCGCACGAGGACTCCTATACCAGCAACCTCGTATACGGTTTCTGAGGCTGTAAATCTTTGTAGGAGCAGAAAACCTCATCTTTCTCCCAAGGAGTGGCCAGTGGGCACTAGACCAGTGTTTACTGCTTATCCTACAGAACCACTGTGTGTCCTATATGTAATGTGGTAATGGCTTCCATTTATAGGTGACGGAGGTGTGCTGTCACATTGAGTTTGACTCATGGCGACCCTGTACAAGGTTTCCGAAGCTGTATGTAAATCTTTATGGAAACAGAAAGCCTCATCTTTGTCCCGCAGAGCAGTTGGTCAGTTTGAACTGCTGACCTTGAGGATAGCAGCCCAACTTGTAACCCACTATGCTATCCGGGCTCCTTATAAAGTAGGTGGTGGTGGTTAAGTGCTGTCGAGTCACTCCGACTCCCAGCAACCCTGTGTAGGTTTTCCGAGGAGTGGCTGGGGAGTTCGAACCACCGACCTTGTGGTTGAGTTGACCTTGTGGTCTAGTGTTGTTCTTACAGCGTCACACTTTATAAAGTAGGTATTGAATCATTCTGTGATGAGAAGTTTTTGTTTCCCACTCAGTAGGTTGTAGGTAAGTCCGCATATGGGCATAAACACAGTTGTCAGCTGGTCCATCACTTCAGTGAAAAAGCAAGGCTGAGACTTTAGCTAAGTACTCCCTAAAGTGTTTTTTCCTTGTCTTCAGAGCTGTTTGAAAGTTTTAGTTGGACCACTGGTGTGTCTAAGATTTCTTACTGAGACTATAGGAAATAATGAACCTTTGAAACGTAATGTGTGGACTGAGAATTTAAAAGTACATGCAGCTGCTTCCACTTCCTCTGGAAGAGGTTTTGTTGCAAATGTTTGTAAACCGATTGCTTGGAATAAGAGATGCATTCTTCTTCCACCTAAAGAAATAATGAAAAAATGTTTCCAGTAATTACCCTGTGAGTACCTGTGGTGTGGGTGATTTGATGAATCCCTAGAAAATGACACAGTGTGGCCAATGTATCTTCTTAAACTATGGAGACATTTCCTTTCCTAGTAGGCTAAGACAGGACAGATTTTGATAATTGATTTTGGCACTGAGCCATTTCTGCCAAGTGGAAGGGATGAAAGCGAAAATGGAGTGGGCTCCAGGAAGAGCTGGAAGAAGAAAGGGGAGACAGTGGGTACAGACAACTCTTTTGATGAGTCATTTTCCTCATTAAACCTGGGAACCCCAGGTTTAGAGGTTTATCTTCAGTCCTGACACTCTGATGCCTCCAAACCCAATGGCAGTCATGTCTCAATATTGTCTTGGCTGTTCCGCGTTAAAAGAACATTTAATTTTGAATAAAGATTTACTTTCCGGAACGTTGACTACTTTATGTCCATGAAGCAGTGTGTTTAACAAGTTATTCATTTAACTTTTCATTGTGATTTGGGTGTGAATTTACAAAGCAAATTGGTTTTCCATTCAACAGTTGAGACACGTTTTGATTTGTGACTTGGATTACAGTCCTCACAGCCCTCTTGCCACTTCTGTGTTTAGCGTTTTCTTACCCTTTCCTGCCTTCTGAACCTCTGGGCAAATGCTGCCCTGTTGATCTTGGGTGGTTGCTTGTTCTAGGGGTGTGTGTCCCACTCATGTTCACTTATAGCCCTGTCTGTATTCCATGTGAGTCAAGTGTTAACTAAAGACAATGCAAAAATGGCTGTGACCGTACATTGACAGAGAATTTACAGAGGTTCAAGGCAGATTCAGAAGAGAACATGGAATGAGGGATATCATTTTTGAGTCAGATGGATCTTGGCTGAAAGCAGAGAATACCAGAAAGATGTTTGCCTGTGCTTTACTGACTACACAAAGGCTTTTGATTGTGTGGATCATGACAAGCTAAGGGCAACATTGTGAAGTATGAGTATTCCAGAACACTTAATTGTGCTCATGAGGAATCTGTACATAGACCGCAAGGCAACTGTTCAAACAGAGCAAGGGAACAACGAATGATTTAAAATGAGCAAATATGTGCACCAAGGTTGGATTCTTTGACCACACTTATTCAGTCTGTATGCTGAAAAAATAATCTGAGAAGCTGGATTATATGAAGAAAAACTAGGCATCAGGATTGGAATACTCTTTTACTATCTGTGATATGCAAATGATACAACCTAGCTTGCTGAAAGCACAGAGGGTTTAACATACCTACTGATGAAGATCAAAGACCACAGCCTTCAGTAAGGATTGCATTGCAATGTGAAGAAAACACAATTCCTCACCACTGAACCAATAAACAACATCCATATAAATGAAGAAAGATTGAAGTTGTCAAAGACTTCATTTTGCTCTAATCAGCCATTAACACTCATGGAAGCAGCAGTCAAGACATCAAATGACATATTGCACTGGCAAATCTGCATAAGACCTCTTTAAAGTGTTAAAGAGCAAAGATGTCAGTTTGAGGACTAAAGTGCACCTGACCCAAGCCATGATATTTTCAGTAACCTCATATGCACACGGAAGTTGGACAGTGAATAAGGAAGATCGTAGAAGAATTGATGCATTTGAGTTATGGTATTAGAGGAGAATATTGAAAGTACCATGGACTACCAAAAGAACAAATAGATCTGTGTTAGAAGAAGTGTAGCCAGAGTGCTTCTTGGATGTCAGGATGACCAGACTTCATCTTTCATACTTCAGACATATGTTGTCAGTAGGGATCAGTTCCTGGAGAAGGATATCGTGCTTGGCAAAATGGAGAGTCAGAGAAAAAGATGAAGACCTCCAACGAGATGGATTGGCACAGTGGCAGCAGTAATGGGTTTAGTTAGGCATAGCAATGATTGTGATGTTGACCCAGGACTGGACAGTGTTTCGCTCTGTTGTGCATAGGGTTGCTACGAATTGGTACTGACCCAGTGGCACCTAACAACAACAATTGTTTGGCTGAAAGTTGAGCCATGAGGCTGAGTTCCATTCCAAGCCAGAAGGGTCACTAAGGGCCATAGTCTCAGGCTTCCACCAGTCTGTGGTCAGTAAGCCAGGCCTTCTTTATGATTTTAAGTTTTGTTTTCACATTTACCTCCCACTCTCTCCAGGACCTCATACTGTGATCCCTTTCAGAGTGGTCAGCAGTGGTAGCTGGGCACCATCTAGTTCTTCTGATCTCTTGGTACTGGAAGTGAGGGTTCACATGGTCCCTTAGTCCTTTGCTTGTTTAATTTTTAACAAGTGATTTTAGACCCTGGACTGGTGGAAAGGTGATAGACCTGGGTCCTAGAGCTCCCTCAATCCAAGCAACTCAGCTCTGCCATGCCCAGCCCCCTTCAATCTAGAGGCACCCTCAGGAGCTGGCAGCAGTATCTTCCTTGTTTGGTGGCTTCACTATCACATGACAGCTATGTTTGCAACTCACTGGTCTCCCCCATTTCCCTCGTCCACCTGTGTAATCCATGGCATACCAAATCACTGCTGCTCAACTCGCTTCTCACTCATAGCGACCATGTAGGGTTTCTGAGACTGTAAATCTTTACAGAAGCAGACTGCTACATCTTTCTCCCTCTAAGTGGTTGGTGGGCTCAAACTGCTGACCATTCGGTTAGCAGCCCAATGCTTAACTCATGGCACCACCAGGACTCCCATTTAATGGCGTAAGCTGAACCAAACCCACTGTCGTGCAATCAGGTTGATTCCAAGTCCTAGGGTTTCAGAGGCTGTAAGGCTTTATGGAAGCAAAAAGCCTCATCTTTCTCCCTGGGGTTGGCTGGTGGGTTTGAACTGCCGACCCTGCGGTTAACAGTATGGTGTTTCTCCTACAGTACCACCAGGGCTCCTTCGTCACTTGTTTATTGTTAAGTGTCTCAAATTAGTTCGTACTCATAGCAACCTTGTATAGGGTTTCCAAGGAGCACCTGTTGGGTTTGAACCACCAACCTTGGAGATAGCAGTCCAGTGCTTATCCTACAGTGCCACACAGGGATTCCATTCAGTTGCATAGTGATTAAAAAACAACCACTTCATTGCTTTCGAGTCAAATTCAGACTCCTAGTGACCCTGTGGAGTCCTGGGGTGGCACTGTGGGTTAATGCACCAGACTGCAAAGTCATTTGAACTGCAAGGTCAGCGGTTCAATTCACCAGCTGCTCCTTGGAAACCTTATACAGGGTGGCTATGGGTCGGAATCGACCTGACAGCACTTAACAACAAGTGACCCTATGCATACTGGTATGGCATCCTAGGATAAGCAATTAACCTCAAGGTCAGGTTGAACCACAAGGTCGGTGGTTCAAACTCACCACCCACTCCTCAGAAACCCTATACAGGGTTGCTATGAGTTGGAACTGACTAGGTGGCATTTCATAACAGCAAGTGACCCTGTTGGACAGAGTAGAACTACCCCATAGGGTTTCCTCGGCTGTAATCTTGAAGAAAGCACATCTTTCTCAGGTGGAGCACCTGGTGGGGTGGAACTGATGACCTTTCGGTTAGCAGCTGAACCCTTAACCACTTCGCCAGCAGGGTTCCTTGGCATTGTGAAGGATTATGATTACAGCAGCCTGACTACAGTTAATACCCCAGTTAGAAGGACACAGTTAGGCTCAAATGCATTACATACACAGTGGTTGCAGGAAGCTCTGTTACTGTTAAGTGCTATCGAGTCAGTTCTTACTCTTTAGGACCTTGTATAGGGTTTCCAAGGAGTAGCTGGTGGAGTTGAACTACCATCCTAGCAGCAGTCCAGTGCTTATCCTATAGGGCTACAGCAGGAAGCTTTGAGGGCTTACAAATGTACAAGAGTCAGGAATTAAAAGTTCATAAAATCGAATGCAACCTCACAAGACTTAATCAGATATGTGTTAGTCTAAATACTAAACCCCCACTACTTGGAGCATGTACCCAGGACAGACAGCCCTCACTACACCCTTATAGTTAGCTATCAGTATAGTTTTTGGGTGAGGAGGCTGGGTCAATTAGAAGGGCCCAGCAGGAAGAGTTTCCACTAATGGTGTGGCACTGCAGGATAATGCACTGGACTGCAGGGTCCGTTTGACTGCAAGATCGGCAGTTCAAACCCACCAGCCGTTCCTTGGAAACCCTATACAGGGTTACTATGGGTCGGAATAGACCATTCATCGTTTCTGGCCAATGTTAGCAGACTCACGAGCAAAGTGGGTTGTTGAACCAGAGTTGCCTGTAAATCTGACCTTGTTGTTGTTAAGTGCCGTCGAGTCAGTTCCGACCCATAGCGACCTTGTATAGGGTTTGCGAGGAGCAGCTGGTGAGCTTGAACCACCAACCTTGTAGTTCAAGCGGCTTTGCAGTCTGGTGCATTAGCCCACAGTGCCACACCAGGACTCTGACCTAGGTGGGCCAATTTTGGAACTTTGAGTCCCCAAAGCTAGCGAATCCCCAGCGCAGAGATTCAAACTTTTGGTTCTCAAGGACTTTACTGCTCCTATGCAGTTGGCCTTGAAACATTTACTTATGAAGATCAAAGAGCACAGCCTTCGATATGGATTGCATCTCAATGTCAAGAAAACAAAAATACTCACCACTGGACTAATAAACAACGTTCTTATCAATGGAGAAAAGATTGAAGTTGTCAAGGACTTCATTCTTCTTGGATCAACTATCAACACTAGTGGAAGCAGCAGTCAAGAGATCAGACGACGTATTGCATTGGGCAAATCTGCTGCACAGGAACTTTTTAAAATGTTGAAG